TAGATTAATATGTATCAAAAATTTCAATTTTTTAAAAAATGTCTCAGAACCCCATTTTCCTAGCAAACTTCCTATATATCTTTTGTTTTTTTGTTTTTTCTATATAAAAAAAATTATATAATATGACATTATTTTGACCATTTCAACTTTTGACCTCTAATAATTGAAATGATTTCGACTATTTCAAATATTTCAGATATCCAAAATGATCCATTTCGACTTCATGTATAGTCAGAAGTGATTTTATTAGTATTTAATAATCAAAAATTTTAGAATAATTTAAAATGTTTCAATTCAGATCAAATTATTCAAAGTTTTCAGATTAATTCAGTTTAGATTGACATTTTTTAGATTTATAATTCAAACTGAACTGAATTAAAATCCTAAATCAAATCAAATTAGCTTTTATTCTGAACTAATCTAGGATTTTTAGAACTTTAAATATAAGAGATTAAACAAAAAATGAATGGATGAAAGTAAATTAAGAATAAAATTTGATCCTAATGAAATTAAAAAATAAACAAGAATTGTAAAAAAATTTGATTTGATAATATTATTATTAAAAAAAGATTAGATGATTTTATTGAATATTCAAATAATTTAGATATTAGTTATGCTGAAAGTTTTTCAAGAATAAGTAATTTAAATAATTAATTGAATCAATGAAAAGAAGAATATGAAAAAAAGTTAAGTAAAAAAGAATTAAAAATTAATATTTAAAAGCAGAATAGATGAACTAAAAGGTAAAGTAGATGATGAAATATAAATAAAATGAGAAAAAACTGAAAAACAATAAAAAAAACCATAAAATAGAAAAAGTGATAAATAACTGAAGTTAAAGATGGTTCCCATAATTATTTTTAAAATTTTTAACTAGTTGCAACTTAAGTTGCAACACTTTGAGTTGCAATATTTTATGAATTTTTATATTAAAATAAATTTACAAGGAGTTGCAACCAAGTTGCAACTTCTTAATTATGGTGCTTATCTTTAATGGGAGTAGTAATAATATTAAATGTAGTTCCTTAATTTTTTGGTTATATAACACTTTATTTTATTCTACTTCTTCAGACTATAATTGTTTCTTTTTCCTTTATCAGTTATTAATATAGTCAAAATTGTATCTTCAAATATATTGTTGTCATTATGAAAAGAATGCATAAAATAGTTGGTTATCTGTTTTAGAATAAAAAAAGTTGGTTGAGAAATTAAGTTAAAAAATAAATCAACTTCTATATCGTTAGGTTTTGTAGGCTTAATAATGCTATTTATTAGTGTTAGTATCATATCTTACAGTATATCAGTTCTTAAAACTATATTTTCTATGATATTATGAATATATTTTCTTTTGTTTGTTCGTTTGAAGGTGAGAAGTTTTTTGTTTTTTAGAAGAGAAATATTTTCATTATGTTTGATGCATATTTTATCTTTATCAATCTTTTTTGTGAATTTTTTAGTTATTGGAAAAGAGTTTTTTTTATTACACTATATTATAAAATTAAGTAATAATTATATAATATTAATAATATTAAAATCTAATAATACATTAAAATAAAGATAAATTTGCTAATTTAATAAATATTTAAAACAACAAAAATAGTAAAATAAATGTATTAAGATTATTGGTAATGAGAAAAATTAAAAGGACTAAATATAAATATTATTTATATTATAAACAGAATATTATATTTCTATTCCAATAAAAGACTAAGTTACATAAAGAATAGTTTAATGAAATGTGTGTATTTATCATAAATTTTAAAAAAGTTATATAAATTAACTATAAAAAAAGGGATTTTTAATAAGTTTATTTATAATAAAGTGTATTTAGATGAGAAGTATGATTATATAAAAAAAATAAACTTTAGAAAATTATATAAATTAATTGAGTTTAATATAAATTTACAATTATAAAAATGTAATTGTATTTTTTAAAATAACTATAGAGTAGATAAGTCAGTTAACACAATAAATTAATATTATTATAAAAAAATAAAAAAAATATCATATGGAGGCTTTATATTATATTAAATCTCATTGGCTTATTTATTTATTAAGGGAATAATATAAGCAAGAAAAAAAATTTAATATTTAAATTTCAATCTTCAAATATTCTATAAGTTATGTATAACATCCCTAAAATTCATAAAGAATAATTAAAAGATAAAAGAAACATTATATAAAATACTTGAGAGCCACTAGCTTTTTTAAATTTATTTTGGCAAGGGCCACATATAAACTTGATTGTAACTTTCTATTCTTCATAATAATTTTTTTTTTGTCTACGATTTAGCAACAATTCAAAATTCGATAACTGATAAGGTTCATTCGAAGAAAGCGAGAGTTTGCGCTCGCAGTTTGTTAAGAACAGTCAAGAGACATTAGAAAAAAGATATTATCACACAGAAAGAACCCAAATATTAAAGTCATGAAAATTAAATTGTAGTGTTTGATTTGTTTTCTTATCGATAATAGCCCCTATGAATGCTATGTTATGATAATAGTACGAAAATTGGGAAAAACAACTTGTTTTCTAAAAAAAAAAAATCCATGAATTAGTTCTATTCTATCATATATTCAAAAATCACTGACGGTTATAATTCATAAGAATCAAATGTAATATCCATCCACAACCTAGCTTTTTTGACATCAATGAACATCTTATGATTCTAATTTGCGATTATTGCGATTGGGATGATCAAAAACTAAAATACAATATGAAACGTGCATTTTAACATGTTGATTGATCACAAAATATTAAGTTGTAATGTAGTATTCTAATCACAAATATTCGAACCTTTTAGACTAATAAATAATATTCGATAAATGTAGTAAATGCAGTGAAAATAAGCATATTTTCGAATTATCATTGATGCTTTCATGAAAATGGTTTTTGTTTTATTGATTGCAGAAAATTTTATACGTGTAACAGAGTAATTTAGTAAAAGCAAACTTATGTAATCTCTAATCACGTGATTAAAATTAAAAAGAAAAAATTTATATATTTTTTTAACCTTATAATCAACAGCCGAGCATTTTTGACAAAGTACAGCAATGCAGTACCACGCTTTCCCAGTGCTGAATCAGCAATTTTTAGTTGATACTAAATATGATTTTATACGCGAACTGGGTCAAGGAGCTTATGGTGTTGTTTGGTAATTCCTTTTCACTTATTAATATTATGCATTTTCTTTCGATCGTAACGAATTTAGTCTGTAAAGCTTTACAATTTTTACTATTTCTAACATTTCCGCTCGAAATCATATTCATTAAAAAAAATAGTGCAGCAAAAAACACCGAAACTGGTGAACAGGTAGCAATCAAAAAAGTAACAAAGGTCTTTGAGAAAAATATTCTGGCAAAACGCGCATTGCGAGAAGTTAAACTATTGAGACATTTCAACGGTCACGATAACGTTAGTTCTTTTTTTTTTATTTCTTTTTTACCTGCGATGACGAAATCTACGTCAAATAATTAGTGTGTGAAAAATTGGGTTTTAATTTTGCCTTTGCTGACATTTATGTTATATATTTTCGATAACGTCATCTAGATTACATCGATTTTAGACATGGATATTACCAATGTTCAAGATTTCAACGAAATGTAACGTACAGCATCCGACCATAATCTAAAATTATATTATTGTTTAATGGTTTATTTAAAACAGTTTCGCTTGAATTATATACTTAAATTTTTTGTTGTTAATTGAAAAAAGTTATTTATTCCAAGAGCTCATGGAGGCTGACCTTCACCAAATTATACGATCCGAACAACCATTAACCGATGCGCATTTTCAATATTTCATATATCAAATCTGTCGAGGACTAAAATATATTCATTCGGCTAATGTCTTGCATAGGGATTTGAAGCCTGGTATGTTGATATGTTAAGAGACATGTTAAGTCAACATGCCAGGGAAGATTCTGTTAAAATATACACATCATTTATTATATCAGCTGCAACTATAGTTACGACACGCGTAAATGAATTTGATTTGAACTTTACATGATTTCTTTACACGTTTTGATCGGCATCAAGTTTTATTTCATTCGTTAATCATGATTTGTATTATTTAGGAAATCTATTAGTAAATGCAGATTGTGAACTAAAGGTACCAAAATCTATTATAGATAATCGATTCTTCGAAATTTTGTGCCAACGATGAAAAAAAAAAAAAATTTACGACTAGAGGTTATTTTCGTGATAACAGTTGCAAGTTCATAATCATTTCGAATCTAATCGAAACATAATGAAGAAATAGTTTAATTATATCTTGGACCTTTCTTAATATCATCATATTTAGTATATTTAATATTTTTCTTTAATCAATAGATATGTGATTTTGGTCTAGCACGTGGGTTCTCTGATTCACCAGATCATAATGCTGGTTTCATGACTGAATATGTCGCAACGAGGTGGTATAGGGCACCCGAAATTATGTTGAGTTTTCAGAACTATACAAAAGCTAGTATGGTTTAATGTTTTTTTATCATACGCATTTGTTTTATATTTCTAAAAAAATTTTCATTTTGAGATTAAACAATATATTATATTTTAATATATATATATATATATGTATATTTTTTTTAAAAATATGTAAAGTCGATATGTGGTCCGTTGGTTGCATCTTTGCTGAAATGTTGGGCGGGAAACCTTTATTTAAGGGTCGAGATTATGTTGATCAATTAAACCAAATTTTAGGAATCTTGGGTACACCCGATGAGGAAACTTTGAGAAGGGTCGGAAGTGAACGGGTGAATATGTATTATGCATTTATGGATTTTAATTGATTTTAGAGATAAGAATTTAATGAATGAAAATTATGTTATTAGGCTCAGATTTATATTCGTAGTCTACCAAGAATGCCAACAATTCCCTTTTCTACACTTTATCCAAAGGCAAATCCTTTAGGTAGGTTAATAGATTTTGTTTATAATTTGTTGGGTTGACATATAGCTAACTTCCTTTTTTTAATTTAGCTCTCGATCTACTAGAGAAACTCTTGAAATTTGATCCCGCAACGAGGATTACAGTGGAACAAGCACTGGCGCATTCATATTTGGCAGCCTATCATGATGAAGAGGATGAGGTAGGCTTAAAATGATTATGCATTAAATTGCTTTTTGTCATACAGTTTACTAACTTTAAAGTTTATTTACAGCCTGCTCATGAACACATGTTTGACTTTTCGTTTGAATCTGTAGATTTAATAGAAGACATGAAAAGTGAGTTTAAATGGATAAAAACATAATGAAGCGATATCTTAATGAATTTATACATTGATTTCTTTTAATTCTTTTTTTATACTTTAATTTATATAGAAATGATTGCCCAAGAAATTATGTCCTTTAAAGCTTCAAAACAAGCCTTGGGTTTAAATGGAGCACAACTGGGTCGTAAAGCAAGGTATCAGCATTTTGAAATTATTCTTTTTTTTTTTTTTTTTGTTTTGATATTAACCGACTTGAATCATATGGCAAATGTAACTAAAATATTAGTTTATCGGCTCCTGACCGTGACTCATTATCTCAACGTCAACAAAATAATAATCGCAATTCCATATATGAATATGGTGCTGCTAGCCAACATGCTGCTATTCCTTCAGCAAGCATGGAAGTGGATGAGCAATTAGAACAGGAGCTAGGCGGGTTTGTCAATTAAAGTGCAAAAATTATATTTTGGTTAGTCATTCGCGATTTGTTGTCATAAGCAATTTCATTCTATTTTTCTGGAAAAGAATTCGATTATTTGACGATTGCCTTCCGATTCCAATTTTTGTCTGATTTATAATTTAATTAAGAAAAAAATGGAGAACCCTATCTATTCTAATATATTCTGTATTTTTTACGTTTTTTTTTTTTAATTTTTTTTTTTAAAATAAACTAGTACTAATAAAATTCAAAATTCAAAAATTTTAACGTTAAATTATTTCATTATTTTTGAAAATTCTGTGTTACATAAATATTAGCCAATCATATAAAAATACAAAGTTTTCCAGAGAATTTTTCTGCCAACTGTGATTATTAAATAACGTGATGCAGGTGATGGTCACCGATGAAGAAATCTTCTTTTTAAATATTTTTTAATGTTTTGACATGGAGACCCCCTTAACCAAACACAAAGTCCGAACTTCATTGGGTACTGCTATTAAACAATCTATACGATCGACACGTAAAGACCCAGGAAGTGCTGGTAAAAAGCGCAGAATAGTAAATGCTACGCAAAAAAATATTGCTCGTGCGCTAAAAAATGGAAAACCTGTTAGCAGTGAGTCAGCAAACACGTCTGCCTATGAAGGGCGTATTACCAGAGCGAGGAACGCGGCCTTAAACGATGCATTTAAGGAAACTCCATCCCGAATGGTAAGGTTGTATTAATATCAAGAGTATATTTTAGTAAGTGATTTTTTTATACAGGTTCAAGTTTTAACATATGATTTATTACGAAAACAGTTGCGACAATTATCTAAAGTTTTGTCTAGACCTCCTGCAGAATGTCAAACCCCAAGACGAAATTCTATTAGAGCAGTACGTCTTACACCAAGTTCTATAAAACGGTCGGCAAAGAAATCGAATAATAAAAGTAAAAATGAAATTACAGCGAAAAAGCAATCGCCACAAGACTTATTAAGACAATTGACTCGAGGTAAAAAAAAATTTGTTTTATTATTAGAATGGTTCATTTTAAAATAATTCATTCAATTGCCAGCGCCCGGGTTTGTGCAAGAACCTCAAGAGATTACGATAGAATCAATGGGAGTTTTTATACAGGAAACAGATGATAAAGTCATTACTAGCATTGATTCTGGTATAACTGAAACCTTACAAGAAAGTAATCTAGTGGAGAATCCAGAGCACCTCGAGCAAAATAATGTTCAAATACAACAACCTGTCGAAGATGATGATTCAATGAGTATAGAATTGCAACTTCATGACGGGATGGATAATAGTGACAACGAAATTTCTAATTATTTCGATCAAACTGAAACAATGGAATTTACGGGAGAGGTAGTCAATAATCAAAAAATGGGTATTGAATTTAATGAACCAATTCAAATCCAACCTCTAGAGTAATTATTTTATCTATTCTGTTATTACATGATAAATAATTTATTAAATAATTTGTATTTCGGATTCAATATACCAGTGAAAATTTCAACGTATTCGAAGATCAAGGATTTGATGGTGGTGTTGATAATAGTGACATCATTGAGGCACTTAACTCTCCTTTAGTTGGATCATTGGAATTCCAGGAGAGAAATGACAATGATGATCCTAATATGGAACTGGAATGTGATCAGGAATTGAATGATAATCTAAAAAGCAAAAAAATAAGGTTTGTTTCTTGATAAAAATAAACGTTTCTACCCAATTTAAGTAGCTTCAATTTATGAACTTTTCCTTGGTATTAGAGCGAGTAAACATACAGGAATATCACGTCTTCCAAATTCTTTGGTTAAGAGTCTATTTAACAAATGTTCGAATTTCAAAGTGTCAAAGGAGGCTATGCAAGCAGTATTTGATGGGTGAGTGTAATTTACCCATTTATTCTATTTAATGTCACTAGTGATATTTCTTTATTATTGACAATTATTATTATTTAGGACTCAAGAATATTTCGAGCAAATTTCAAATGATTTAAACACATATGCATCACACGCGAATAGAGAAATTATTCAAGAAAAAGATGTACATTTATTAATGAAAAGGTATAAATGAACATTTGGATTCAATATCATATTTACAAATTAATTTACGTATTTACTAACTTTTACTATCCTTAAAGACAAGGATTAATTACAGAGACGAGTACGTTTGAATCTTTAGTGGAAAAATATTTACCGCGTGAATTATCTGATGAAATCTGCCCATATGCTCGCGCCGGAAATAAAGTCTATCCCCCAATTCAATTGACAAAAAAAAGAATGAAAAAAGCGAGATGAAAGGTAAAACTATAAAGGTTGTTTAATTTGTGCTTTAGGTTTTTTCGAAGCTTATCTAATATCCTATTGGCATATCCGAACGAATCATAATTCCAATCCCCAACAATCATAATTTCAGATCAAATAAAGCGCATCCGAATTTTCATCCGATTTTTAAGACAAAAAAAATATATTTATATACAACTTTTTTTTTTATACTACATAGTTGCGTCTTAAATAAAGTTGTTTATATTCACACGTTTTCTTTGTAATCATTAGTCTTAACCTTATACAATTGTTAAAACGGATTTAGTATAGAGAAATATTTATGGGTTCGCGTTTCCTTAATCACGGGATGGTAATTAATTTATTAATTATAAGGGATATAATGGGCTATTTTCTTCCTAATTTGGAATGTGACAGATTATTTCTTTTAGTTGGATGTTATTATAATTTTTAAGGGAGGTTCAATTTAGATGACGTTTCACAATTTCTAATAAGATAATTATACATTTCCATAATAATTTTATAGACTTTAGATTTACTAATAGTTAGTATTTAGAATAATAGAATAGCTATCAAATAAAATAAAATAAAAAATATATGGGAGCTTATCAAAAGAAAGGGAGAAAATCTAAAAGAATTATTTGTGTTAAATAAGATATTTTTTAGTAAATAAGTTTATTTAATTATTTTAAGGGTTTATTATATAGTATTGATTTTAGTATCAAATACTATTTAAACAAATCTGAGTCTAATTTGAATAGAATCCTAAATATAAGGAAGATATTGTATAAGGAAAATACTGCATAAAATGAATATAATAAAAGGATACTAATTATAATTTATATAAAATAGATAATCATTAATACTGTTTTTTTTAATAAAAATTTATATTCATATTAATAAGAATAATGCAAATTTCATTAATAACAAATTTTATGAATGATAGAATTTCATATATAATATAAATTTTATAAATTATATAATCAGAGTTTTATCTGAATTTTTTTTTCATTTTTTTTATCTTTATAATCATAAAAATTTATTACTTTATTATAAATAAAATGGTTTTATCTTAAATAAAATTTTAATTAAGTATTTTAAAAAATTTAAGAAAAATTATATATTATAAAAATAATTATAATAAAAACTAAACAACAGCTAAATTTAATATTAAAATAAAACAAATTTATGATTTAATATTTAAAAAGAATAATTTATGAAAGCATAATCTAATTAAAATATTTAAATAAAGGCAAATCTTCTAAATATTCTACTTTAAAAGTAACTTTAATTAAATATGTAAAAGAAAAAAGAAACAATCAGCAAAGTAGGGCAAATATGGGGTTTCTAGGACAGAATTCAAAATAGTACTCAGAAAAGATTCCTGACCGCCTACGAATCTATTTTAGCTATATGAATCAACTATAGAATTAAAGCTTCTAGCCAAT